TGCTTTGTTTCCCCGATGTATAACTGGTCGCAGTCCTCCTGGCACTTAACAGCATAAACAACATTGCTCTGTTTGTGCCGGGGCACCGGATCTTTGGGGTGAACCAGCCTTTGCCGTAATGTGTTTTGGGGTTTGAAAGCCACATCATCTAAACATGATGTCCCAGTCCCCAACTTTAAACCCCCAACTTTAAACCTTTGTCAGATAGATAGAGAAGAACCCGTCCTGAAGACCTACACAATTTTTTTCTTTCTAATATTTGATGATTAATTTTTTGTGAAATGCGATAAAATTCAGGAGTTGTTTTAATCAGTCCACTATGATTTGAGCCCCACTTTAACTAAACTTGTTAATCATGTCAAAATTAAACTCTGTTTCTCCAAACTGAGGTTGTTCAAAAAGCCATTTACAGCAGACAAAATAAAATTTCCACAAAGCTCCATGTTACAATGTCCAAGAGATGAAAGTGTATTTAGCATTAAACTCACACGTTGCTAACATTGTCTCTTGTTTGACATATTTTTTAGTTGCTGTGTGGAAGAGAAATCCCTCGCTGGGTCAACAGATTGGCTTATTTCAGCTCCTGCATCCCCTTTCTGCAGAGCTGCCTGCCCAAGGAGTGGTTGACCCCGGCAGCTCTACAGAGCCACATCAGCCTTGGCCTCCATAAGGAGGAGCAGAGAGATTTGAGTGATGATGACCCTTTGCCACCCCCTGGCACAGCTGCCACTGGCTCAGGCTCCTCCCACAGCTGTCGCCACACCAGGGTGTGACCTCACCCTCTGGACTCTGCAGCACCGCTGCTGGTGGCTTCAGTTGTCTCGAACAACCACCTGACCTCACTGTTTAGCCTCTGATTGAAAAGGATCTCCTGATGAAACTGCTGCCAGGGTCTTCAGACATGCAGACTGCTTATCAGCTGACAGGAATGAAAGCAAACTTTGACCTGAGCACTGAAATGTGAAAAAACTGATGTGCATTTTTYCCCCCCCAAAAAAGAACTTTAAACCTTTGTCAGCTGCCTGTCCCTGCCTTCAAATCTGCTTTTGTAGAATGACTTCATAGATAATGACATTACCGGGAAACATATTTTAAAGTTCAACAAGCTCTGGTAAAATAACCTATACGTGGCCTTCAAATATCGGCCACTCTGAACTCTTTGCGTGCAACTTTTCTTTGGCCATTCTAGAGAGTTAAAATATTTTAAAGTGTTTGTTATTTTCCTTGGCATTAATCTTATAGAGACAAAGTGTTGAATGCAGGGGAAAAAAGAACAAAACCCACCCACCTAGATTTATTCTATTCCTTGTGATATTTTTGTTTTTATATAAAAAAAGAAATGTCTTTATTCAGAACTTAAATACAAACATCTGTGTAAAACTTTTGATTTATGAAGCTTGGAGCAACCTGTCATGATGTGTGAACATTTTAGAAACATCTCAGATAAAGGACTTAGCCACTACTTTGACAAATATCAACTTTGTCAATCAGTACTTTTTATTTCTCGCCCCTAAAAGATGGACTAAACTCAATTTGCCTGTGTTTGTGTGTGTCTGTCAGTTTGTTAGCAAAATATTGCATAAACCACTTGACAAATTTTAATGAAACTTACATTTGGAGCCAGTCCAGTTAAAGAGGGTTGTCACAGCCAACTGACCTTAAAAAGCACACAAACTGCTATAACTCCATTAAGTATACAGATATTGAGCTAGAATTTGGTATAGTAGATGAGTGACTGGTTGCACAATGTTTTTGTAACCATTTGGGGTCAACTCTGTTAGACACTGGATGAGTTTTAATTCGGAAACTTTCAGTAAATAATCACTGGCTGTACATCTACAACTGTTTAATTTTTAGAGCCAACTCTAAAAGTGGCCTCTGGAGCCAACTCATCTTAGAAGACACAAAAATTATAATGATTCAGTCACTTGTACAAACTTTGTATGCTCATTGCACACAATCTTTGCTTAAAACCAGGGATGGGAACAGTTCCGCTAATCCGTTAATAGTGAAACTAGCTTCTCCTTTAGCGGATTAGCTTTTTTGTTAACTTTGGAAACCATTAGCAAACCGATTAGCTACAGCTAAATTAGGTTAGGGGAGACAGGGGACAGTGGAAACTAGACATGGGTTTTTACGATGTAACAACAAGTGTGCATTGCCATGTAGCATGTCATTGTAGCATGGCTTCGCCTGCAGCAATGGACTTGCAGAATGAAGTGTGACAAGTTCAAATATGTTTTTCTAAACCAGCTTGTGTCTACCACATCAGCAGGTGTTTGTAATTAAGGTAATTGTGTGACAATACGAAGTTTGAAGAGAATTTTTGTTAAAGTTGCATTAGCTGGGTTTCAAACCCTGATCTTCCACATGAAAGTTCATGACATAGACCATTAGACCAGTAGACCTGTGGCAGAAGATAGTGGCAGGGATTGGTTTGTATGTGGGCAGAAAGAGGCCACATTGCCAATACAATTATTGACACAAAATGCATAATATTACAACAATCGAGCAGTATTAAGACAATATTGTAGTAAAACATCAAAATACAATCATATTAGTATTGTAAACACTGAACTACTGAGTTGAAATATTAAACTATGGTGCAGTACCAAGTTGAGTACAGCATGGGGCAGTATTGGACCAATACAAGGCTCCATTGAATGCCATTATAATTCATTAAACATTAATATTTCATAAACTATAAGTTTTACAGGCATCAAAAGGCATAGCCATCATTTGGTACAGGAGCTTTACAGATATAAATTACAATGGCAGCTCTAGGACAAAGTATGCAGGAGGAGAAGCATGGCAAAGTTGAGATGACTTGGATGGGAACGAATCACAATAGTGTACACTGAAAAGGGACGGTTGCAACACGTCATTTTTCTCCACAGAAACAAGTGATGACACTCACACTGTACATGCTCAGTTAGATGTCCCACCTTGCAAAGAAAAGTAAGCATATTCAAAAACTGCTCCAGGATTTATTTGAAAAAAAAAAATCTGTTTTTGAGGTACCAAAGTTTTTTTTTTTTTTTGCCTAGCTTTATTTTTGTTACACTGTTGTCACTGTTTGTGTGATCCAGCTCACACTTATGTGGTTTAAACAAGTGATATGTTGACTTTTAAMTAATATGGTTAGAATGTATCAAGATCAGCTTATTTAGCTAACACATGAGGTTTTATCATGGCTGACAGGAAGGGTGTATAATAAATCCATATAAAAACAGACCACATAAAGATGAGATTAAGATGTTGAAATTAAGTTTACACTTAAAAGGGTATTGGGTATTCATGACAATTTTACAGTTTAAAACATAAAAGTGTTTAAGATGTATTTCCTGCAGGTGTTGTTTTCAACAATGGTTTCAAAATCCCAGTTTCTTTCTATGTATGTTTTGCATACTGGAGACGTACACTGACAATAGGCAAAACAAAAGTTAATTGCCACACAAATTGTTCTATTATCCTTGTCTCTAAAAGCCAACTGTATTTCATATCGATTTTAGTCTTTGACATCAGTACGTAAGGTCTACTCATCAAGGCAAATCTATATTCATCATTTGATCAAAAAGAATAAATAAATAACACTGTARTATCATAACTTACAGTTCTTATAAATTCAGCAATAATATAAATATAAAAATAATAAAACTTTTATTTACAGTGAAGTATATTGTATTAATAACATGTTGCAACTAAACCCAAACAATGTTGCAACTGTCCCCGACCCTGGGGTCAGTTGTAACATCTGACTTTTCATTTTCAAATGCAAATTGTGAAGAATGAACATTCTTTAATCATCATAAATGGTTTTGACTACAGATAGATGTGTTTGTTGTATTAAAATTTGGTTTGTCTCTAATTCAAACCATCTCTGAGTAACAGAGTAAAATGCAAAAAGTGTTGCAACTGTCCCTGGTCTCCTCTACAATGATTTTAGGTCCACTAAAAAAATTGACAAGTGTAAAACTTCTATTTTTATGCCATTTATCCCAAATAAAAAAAACTATCCCCTCTTATAAGCAGTGCTGGATGTGAAAGGCACCGTGTGCAGCCTGTAGCATCTGTAGCAGCTAAAGTTCAAATTAAGAGCATCAAAAACAAATAAAATAACATTTAAAATATTTAGATAAAAGTTGACTTTGTATAAAATAATGTAGAGAAAGTACACGTGGTAGTTTTCTTTAACTTCAAATGATATTTAATACTAACTTGATCAAAGGAAAGCTTTTATTCTAAAAAAGTGTAAACTGGAAGTATCATGTTCGAAACTCTGGTTTGGATCGGCTCATTTTTCACAGATGATCCCACCCACCTTTAAATTAAACCAATAGAAAACTTGCAATAAGTCTGTGTCAGTCCTGTCACTACCCAGTCTGTTCAAGCAGCATGATCTGTAACGTCAGCTCATTTACATTTACACATGTGTGAAAAGAAATACTTCTGGACACTACCAGTTATTGCACTCAATTTACGAAACAATCACTTCTGTCATTAAGTGATCTAGCAAAATGCTACATGTTAAAAACAAAAAATCCCTCGCAGAATTATTTCTTTTAGCGCATGATGAGCCGACGGTACAGATTGTACTCCCTGAACAGATCAGGCAGTGACAGGTCCCACTAGTCTTCAAGGAGATGAAGACATAGACTACATGACAGTTGTCTTAAAGGCACAGTGTGTAGGATTTTATCAATTCTTTTAGCCGAAATTGAGATAATCACTGATGACAATAAAAAAA